CTCCCTCCTTTCTTAGGTTTCTGTATTTCACGGTAACGTCTCACTGAACTCACAAACTGCCAAGGAAATGGCTTATGCAGTGGTGGAGGATGGGAGGCTGGCAAGTCCCAAGTCTGTGGGTAGGTCTATAGGCCTCTCCCCACTTGCATGGTTGCAGGGGCTGGCAAACCTAAATCAATGGGTCAGATGACCAGCTGCTATCTCAAATCCAGGGGAAGATGATGATGAACCAAATGCAGGATGGGAGCGAGAGAGAGAAACTTCCCCAGAGCATTCATATATATACCCTCACCGAAACTAAGGGTGGTGACTTGAGTCACACCCTCCAGCAAGGTGATACATTCCACCCTAAACAGGCACAGAGACTAGGATTTAAATATATCACAAAATGGAGGTGATGGCTAGAAGGACCATATTAAGCAATTCACTGCACCGCACCATCCCACCTTCCTACCACCAGCCCAGGCAACACTAAAGGATTCAAGAAAATAAAGAATATCTCCAACTCCACACAAAGGTTGAGAACTTGGCCCAAATTTTTCTAGTTAAACTTGTATTGTAAAAATCCACTCCATCTTCAAGAAGAGTTAATTCTCAAATTACTTAAATTGCTACTGTTCACTTTAAGGCATTATTCTGCTACCAAAACTTGTTAAAGACAATCACAAAATTACACCAGTTATAATGGACTGATTTCAGTGTGCAAAACCAAACCAAACTCACTGCCATCGGTCAGTTCTGACTCATCATGACTGCCATTGGGTTTCCAAGGCTGTAAATCTTTACAGAAGCGGATTGCCTCATCTTTCTTCTGTGGAGCAGCTGGTGGGTTCAAACAACTGACTTTTTGGTTAGTAGCCAAATGCTTTAACCACTACATCACCAGAGTGCCTTCATTTCAGTACTTGTTGTTGTTGTTGTTATGTGCCATCAAGTCAGTCCCGACTCATAACGACCCCTCCTTGGGTTTCCAAGGTGGTATCACTACGGAAGTAGATTGCCCAACCTTCCTTCCGAGGAGTGGCTGGTGGGTTTGAACCGCCAACCTTCTGGTTAGCAGTTAAGTGCCTTGGCCACTACGCTACCAGAGCTCCTAATTTCAGTACTAGTAAATACATTTTAATCCTAAATAAAAGATTAACAAACAAATTGAACTCAGAAGGGTATTCAAAGAATAATACAACATGTACAAGCAGAGTTTATTTCAGAAATGTAAGGATGGATCAAACCTTATGAAATCTATTTGTAGAATTCATTATTTATACATCCGATTAAGAATACAGTAATAGAGTTTGAGAGACAGTTGATATCCTTTCCTATTTAATATTTGATATCCTTTCCTATTTAAAACTGTATAAACTAGGAATAGAATAAAACTTTTTTAAAAAAATGACCAAACCCAAAACCAAACCCACTGCCATCAAATTGATTTCAACTCATAGTGACCCACTGGGTTTCCAAGCCTGTCTTTATGGAAGCAGACTGCCTTATCTTTCTGAGTTCTTTGTAATTTAGGAAAGCTACTGTTTTTTTTTTTTTAATCATTAATCTTGTATCCTGTCACACTCTGAAAGTGTCTTATTTTTTCTAATAACATGTCAGTTCATCTCTCTAAACTGTTATGTAGAATTTCATATTACCTGCAAGTAATGCCATTTTCTTGCTTTCTTAGTATATTGGCCAAAGACTGAAAATTTTTGAAGAATAGAGGAGGAGATAATAGGATTCAGTCTTTAATGGAACAAGTTAAGAGTTTGTTCCTGATTAGTACAAGATACATTTTATGTATGCTGTCATTTTTCTTTTCTTTTCCTAAGGGGTTCTGGGAGCTCTGGTAGCATAGTGCTTAAGGCACTTGACTGCTAACCAGAAGGCTGGCGGTTCAAACCCACCCTCCTCAGAACGAAGATGGGGCAATCTACTTCCGTAGTGATACTGCCTCGGAAACCCAAGGAGGGGTTGCTATGAGTCGGGGCCGACTCGACGGCATATAACAACAACAACAACAACAACAAGGGGTTCTGGTGGTGTAGTGGTTAAGGCAAGTAGGTGCTAACCAAAAGGTCAGTCATTTAAACCCACCAGCCACTCATAGAAGAAAGATGGGGCAGTCTGTTTCCGTAAAGATTTACAGCCTTAGAAACCCAGTGGGGGTCACTTTTAAGTCAAAATCAACTTGTTAACTGAGTTTGTGTCTTTAGTTGGTGACTAGTGGGTAAGATGACAATCATTTGGCCAACAAACATTTGAAAGGGAGTTCAATGTCCTAGTCACCTTGGAAACACAAATTTAAATCCCAATATAATACCCTATACACCTTCCAAAGGAGCTCTGGTGGTGTAGTGCCTAAGGCTAACCAGAAAGCTGGCGGTTCAAACCCACCAGCCACAGAAGGCAGATTGGGCAATCTACTTCCTTAGAGATACTTCCTCGGAAACCCAAGGAGGGGTCGCTATGAGTCGGATTCCACTTGTGGCAGTGAGATTTTTTTTGGGATACACCTTTCAAAGGATCTCTGATGGGTATGAATCACTATGAGTTAGCATCAACTCATTGCCAGTGAGTCTGTTCTTTTTTTTTTCTTTTAATACACCTTCCAAAGGAGCTCTGGTGGTGTAGTGGTTAAGGCATTTGGCTGCTAACCAAAAGATTGGTGGTTCAAACCCATCAGCTGCTCCACGGAAGAAAGATGAGGCAGTCGGCTTCTGTAAAGATTTACAGCCTTGGAAACCCAATAAGGGTCACTATGAGTCAGAACTGACTAGATGGCAGTGAGTTTGGTTTGGTTTTGGTTTCTAAATTACAGCAATGAACGATTAGCAAATATAATATGAAAATATTTGCTCCATAACAACAAAAATGATAAAATACCTAGTAACGAAGTTAACAAGAATTGTACAAATTTATGTAAAAAAATGATTTAAAAAGTGTTCTTAAATATGTAAAAGAGCTAAATGCATGAAGAGATATTCTCCTGAATGGGGAGACTCATGCTTTTGAAATTTTTGAAAAGGAAGAAAATTAGGAAAGACCTTGCATACCTAGAGAGCAAATACATTACAAAATCTATAATCATCATTACAGTGTGGTATAACATAGGACTAGGCAGATAGCTAACAGAACAGATCAGAATGTTCAGAAAGACCCATATGTACATATGGAATTTAGTTTGCTAACATTGGCACTTCAAAGTAGTTGAGAGAATGGATTATTCAATAAATATTATTTGGGTAACTGGTTATCCATTTGGCAATAAGTAAAATGAGGATCCCTACCTCAGTTTAAAGAAATAAATTTGAGATTGCAGATTTATATTCTTGAGTGTAGTTTGGCAATCTGTATTTAAACTTGCAATTTTCATAATCTTTTATTGAAGAATTCCATTTCTAGGAATTAATTCCAAGGAAGTAAATGGACAAGTATGCAGAAATTCTGTACAAGTATGTTTATTGCAGCATTTTATTTTTGAATAGTAAAAAAATAAAAACTACTGAACTATCACAGCAGACTGCAACTATGGAATGCCATGACTTTACTTTAAAATATTGGAATGGGAATACATCCACATCATACTATGTTTAAAAAAAAAACAACAACTAGGTATTCTTTTATCATATTGTGCTGTTATTTAACATGTGGAGGTATAGAAAGTCTGGAAGGATGTATAACTAAGTGCTTCTTTTTCACTTCCTATAGGAAGATCCTGGAAGATTCCTCCCCCTCTCTTAACTCTCTTTACCCAGTAATTTAATTGGAGTACATCCTTGAGGTCTTAGCTTAAACTTCTTGGGAGGGGAGGGCTTCCTAGGCATCCTGTCCTAGGTAAATATGCTTCCATAGAACCTTGTAGGTGCTCTGGTAGCGTAGTGCCTAAGGCACTTGCCTGTTAACCAGAAGGCTGGAGGTTCAAACCCACCAGCCACTCCTTGGAAGGAAAGTTGGGCAATCTACTTCCGTAGTGATACTGTTTAGGAAACCCAAGGAGGGGTGGCTATGAGTTGGTCCCTCTCGAGGACACATAACAACAACATAGAACCCTGTATTTGCCATCTTTCCTATAAATTATACTATTTTTTTAAATCACTTACTTATTGCTTTCTTCTCTAGATGCTAATTTCTATGAAGGCAGGGATTGTATCTGGTCAGTCTTGTTTACTCCAGGCCCTAGCACAGTGTCTGGCAAATAACCATAATTGACGAAACCAAATACTATGCTAAACGCTTTAAGTAATCTCACTATACCCTCAGGTAACCAGTACCATTATCTCCATTTTGGGGATGAGGAAATTGAGACTCATTTGCTCAAAAGAACTTTGGCTGAGCTAGGATTCATTCATGTATACACACACACACACACATACACAGTCATATATACACACACATATATACATATTTATCCATACACACACACATATATATTCATACACATACATTCATATATATACACATATATTCATATATACACACATATATTCATATATACACACATACATATATATATACACACATATATATTCATATATATATACACATATATACACACATATGTATACACATGAATCAACTTGATGGCAGTGGGTTTTTTTGGTACGCACACACACACACACACACACTACACTCACTATGCGGTGCTCAGTAAATATCCGTTCTGTAGGAAGGAAATACAATCAGCTGTGGTTTGACGATCACTAGGTGGGGATGTTGTAGTCGAGATTTAGCACGGAAAGGTTATGGAATTAGAAACTCTACAAACTCATTACTAGCGCAGATAATTCCGAGCCCCGCCCACTATGGCCCGCCCACGAGAGCCGGGAAGGAAGGTGCAAGGGCTGGCGGGCGAGCTTCCGGAGAACGGGGCGGGGCCAACGCTGGTTGGCCAGCCTTGGGCGGAAGTCGGGCTGTACGGTGGTCGGAGGACGCTGGCTTGTAACAGGGAGGGGGAGAAGGAAGGTCTGCGTAAAGGTTGCTTCTCCAGCTCTGCGGTCCCGGGGACCCTCAAGAAAAAAACCAACATCCCGGTCCCGGTGCTAGCCCCTTTCCCCAGGCTCTCTCCGCTCGATTTCGCCACCGTTATGTGGGAAGCGAATCCGGTGAGTAGCCGGCAGGGACGAGGCTGACCCAATAGGCGGGGTTGATAAGAGAGGGGCGGGGAGGGGGTTCCAGGGAACTGCTCCCTCTCACCTGCTTGAGGCTGGGTCTTGAGTTCCGGGGATCTGAATATCCCGGCCGTTTTGGCCTCTACAGTTTCTGCCCTGTTAAGCTGTGGAGATAGTTTTCCAAAGCTGTGTTGCTTTCCTATTACTGTTATTTATTTTACTTTATGTGATTTCTCCGCCTCCCTTCACCGTCTCCTTAAAGTTTAAATTTTTTGCTTTCTAGTTAGAGTTACTGGACTTGGCACCTCCTGTTATTTTTCCTTTATCTCAGGTGTGCTTACCTATCCGATCCACCAATCTAAAGCGAGGTGACTAGACCCCCTGTGCCTTGAATCAACGTAAGAGAGAGTATCGGTACTCCTGTTCCCTTCTTGGTGGACAGCCATTTAAAATTTGGAAACTATTATGTTCTAGGCCTCTAAGTGGTGAAATTCTTTAGATATTTTCTTTCAGTGGACAGAACTGATGCCCAGAAACCTTTCAACTACAAGTCCGTGTCCCTCCTTGTTTGATTCTAGTATTTGCATTATGTCTGCACATATTTTTTGTCTACTTAGCTTATATATATATATTTATTTAAAGTGTAGCTGATGAAGAATGGGATCAATTTGCCAAGAGTATTCCATCAGTCTCTTGTTAGAGTTAAAATCACCTGGCAGCATGGCAAATGTACACCTTATTTACACATTATGGAAAAAAGGCAGAGTCACATTTTAGCAAGCGATTGAACTGATTATGTCCAACTACCTCATACGCTGAGATAACTGCCTACATTTACTTTAATAGTGTTTGTTTTCCATTTTTGAAATAACTTCTTTGCTATAATCAATACTTTCCCTCCTTTTAATTTTTTTTAAATCTATTTCTGAGATATATTTCGAGTATACGTTGGAGACAAGATCTACCCAATGCTATCAAGTCAATCATGACTCATAGCAATGCTATAGGACTGCCTCATTGGATTTCCAAAAAGGAGGTCTGGTGCTGTAGTGCCTAAGGCATTTGACTGCTAACCAGATGACTGCAGATCCAAACCCACTAGCCACTACTTGGAAGGAAGATTGGGCAATCTACTTCTGTAGTGATACCGCCTCCGAAACCCAAGAAGGGGTTGCTATGAGTTGGCAGTGAGTTTTTTTGTTTGCTTGTTTGTTTAATCTTTACAGAAGGAGACTGTCACATCTTTCTCATGTAGTGGGATGGTGGATTCGAACTGCTGACCTTTTGATTAGCAGCTGGCTGCTTAACCACTGTGCCATCAGGGCTCCTTATAAGTTTGTGTTCATCAGTAAATTCCTCTATGTTTTAAAGCTTTTATCTGGCAGAGAAATCTAGTCAGTTTGTCTGAATTTGTTGGTTGCACATTGCCGTTCCATCCCCGTTGATAGTGTAACAGTAGTCATTATCAAAGATTTTTTTGATTCATACATACAATCCTCTAATATCAGGGTACATTGGAGGAACATAACTGCTGATATTTGATTTTATCCAAAATAATTTAGAATTATAAACTTATGCCCTCTACGTAAACATTCAGTTTCACTGTCATTAATAAAATGTATTACAGATTTTTTTTTTTTTCCAATTTTAATTAGCAGTCCTTTGGGAGATTTCCATAACATACCCTTTAGTTGCCCAAGTACATGTCTTGTTCAAAGTCACATGTTTTTAAATCCTTCACTATATTGTAAGCTCCATATGAGCAGGGATTGCCTGTTTTGTTTATTATATTTATAATAGAGAACAGAGCCTAGCATGTAATAGGCACTCAACAAATATTTCTTGAATTAATGAATCATTTTAGCTAAGGTGAATGGACCAGTTCTGGATTGCTCTCATTGTTCACTCACTCCTCTATCACATATACATCAGAATTTGCTCTTGTATATTTGTGAGGATTATAAAGGCATTAGTGAGTATCTCATACATATGGCTCATTATGTCATTAGGTCATTTTTTTGTGAGAAATTGTTTTCCCTGCAATCACCCTAACAATATTGCTTAATATCATAGAGCTGATCCACTTTTGAAAGGTGGTGAACCTTTCATATATAATCTGATATTGTTCTATGGACCCTTAAAGCTACTGTGTTTTAGTACTTACTGATGCTGTTTTTCTTCTTTTCTTTTGAGCATATGAATATGGACAGGTTAGTTTTTAAAAACACGATCAACATTCTGATGTGAGTTCTCTAGCAATTTGTTAGTTTCTTTTAATGGAAGGGACATCTGGATCCTCTGTCTAGCTGGACTCATGGAAAATAAGAATCAATTTTAATGTTACCATAAGCTCAACCCAAAGCATTGGCAAAAACAAGACTCCAGGAACCAAAGGAATACCAATTGAGATGTTTTAACAAACTAATACAATGCTGGAAATGCTCACTTGTCTATGCCAATAAATTTGGAAGATAGCTACATGGTTAACTAACTGGAAGAGATCCGTATTAGTGCCCATCCCAAAGAAAGATGATCCAACAGAATGCAGAAATTATTGAACAATACTATTAATGTAACATGCAAGTAAAATTTTACTGAAGATAATTAAAAATGGAGGAGTACATCAACAGGGAACTGCCAAAAATTCAAGCCAGATTCAGTAGATAATGGAATGTAGGATATCATTGCTAGTATCAGATGGATCTTGGCTGAAAGTGGAGAATAACAGAAGGATGTTTATCTGTGTTTTATTGACTCTGGAAAAGCATTCAACTATGTGGATCAGAATAACTTATGGATAACATTGGGAAGAATGGAATTTTCAGAACACAGTCATTTGAACGTAACAGGAGGATACTGCATAGTTAAAATCAGTAAAGGTTGTGCGTCAAGCTCTGGTGGCATAGTGCGTAAGGCATTTGATTGCTAACCAGAGGGCTGGCAGTTCAAACCTGCCAGCCACACCTTGGAAGGAAGATTGGGCAGTCTACTTCTGTAGTAATACCACCTCAGAAACCCAAGGAGGGGATGCTATGAGTCAGAACTGACTCGATGGCAGTGAGTTTGGTTTGGTTTGGTGTTAAATCTGTATGCTGAGCAAATAATCCAAAAACCTGGATTATGTGAAGAGGAGCACAGTGTCAGAATTGGAAAAAGACTCGTTAACAATCTCCGATATGCAGATGACACAACCTTGCTTGCTAAAAGTGAAGAGAACTTGAAGCACTCTCTGATGAAGGTCAAAGACTACAGTCTTCAGTATGAATTACACCTCAACATAAACCAACACCAAATTCCTCACAACTGAATCAATAAGCAGTATGATAATGGAGAAAAAAATTGAAGTTGTGGAAGATTTCGTTTTACTTGAATGCCTGTGGAAGCAGCAGTTAAGAACTCAAATGACGTATTGCAATGGGAAAATCTGCAAAAAGACTCTTTAAAGTGTTAAAAAGCACACTGAGCACTAAGGTACATCTGATCCAAGCCCTGCTTGCTTCAGATGTATGTGAAAGCTGGACACTGAGCAAGGAAGACTAAAGAATTGATGCTTTTGAATAATGGTGTTGGTGAAGAATATTGACTATATCATGGACTGCCAGAACAAACAAATCTGACTTAGAAGAAGTACAGCCAGAATGTGTTCTTATAAGCAAGGGTGGCAAGAGTTTGCCTCATGTCCTTTGGACATGTTATCAGCAGGGACCAGTTTGCGGAGAAGGTCTTCATACTTGCTAAAGTAGAGGGTCAGGAAAAAAGGAAAACCCTCAGTGAGATGGATTGACACAGTGGCTGCAACAGTGGCCTCAAACATGGCAGTGATTGTGAGGGTGGTGCAGAACCAGGGAGTGTTTTGTTCTATTACGTGGAGGGTGACTGTGAATCCGAACTGACTTGACAGAACCTGACAACAACAACAACAACAAACCTAACAATTCAGAAAGTATAAAAAACCCACGATGTATTAAAGATAAATACTGTTGACCTTTGCATTAGCCATCGATTAAACTCACTGGTCCCCTTTTATTTTCATTTAATGAGGCTATTCTACTTTGTGATGGAAGACCATTGTTAACAGCTTTGATTCAAGACTTCTGCCTAGTTTCTCCTTGTATATTTTTGGTAGCTTCCATGGCCTTAATATGCCACTCTGACCTGCAGATATACCTCCTGTTACTCTTATTGCAAATATACCATCTGTGTAATACTTTTTTCTACTTACAGGAATTTTGAGAAAATGTTACACTGACCCAAGCTATTGTAATTCTCAGAAGCAGCCACTCCTATGTGAAAAGTCCACGAAATGGCCAACTTGTTGAAAATCATCACTGACCCCTCACTATTTCCTTGGAGGGAAAATACCAAGATAATCAAAGAGTTCTATGTAAATATTACCTAAGAATACAGTTTTGGAAGTCAGTGATAATTTTTTCTTGGGCTTTCCTGACCAGGAACCTTGAAGGAAGCATAAGATCCCTGCCAGAATGAAAGCAGCAGCAGGCACTCCCCAGTTCTGATGTGAACTCCTGACATTTCTCCATCCCTTTGGGGGAGAGGTAGCCCTTAACTAATGGTTCCAGTTTAAGAAAGCTGCGAAGTCTATAGAAAGAAGGGGTGAGGGTGTTTGCCACCACTGTCTTTACTCTGTATACTCTGACTTAGTCTTTTTCAGTCTCTTTGCCATTGTTATATTCCCCTTTGGTGGAATTGGAATAAGTAGATCAGAATTACATGTGAAGATTTGGCTTCTCTGTTATACTGGTGAGGAAAAGTAACAAAATTACAAACATCTGTTGAAGACTACAAGCCATTCATTACAAGCATAATACTTTATAGAAAATGATAAACTCTTCCAAAATTCTTTTTCATTTATTAATTAGGAGCTCTGGTAGCATAGTGCCTAAAGCACTTGACTGCTAACCAGAAGGCTGGCAGTTCAAACCCACCAGCCACTCCTCGGAACGAAGATGGGGCAATCTACTTCCATAGTGATA